TAGTTTAATTGGCGAGTGTCCATGATGGTTAGGTTATTTAATGAGTGTCCATGTTGGCTTGGTTATTTAGCGAGTGTTCATGTTGGTTAGGTTATTTAGCGAGTGTCCATGTTGGCTTGGTTATTTAGCGAGTGTCCATGTTTGAGAAGTTATTTAGCGAGTGTCCATGTTGGTTAGGTTATTTAGCGAGTGTCCATGTTGGTTAGGTCATTTAGCGAGTGTCCATGTTGGTTAGGTCATTTAGCGAGTGTCCATATTGGTTAGGTCATTTAGCGAGTGTCCATGTTGGTTAGGTCATTTAGCGAGTGTCCATGTTGGTTAGGTTATTTAGCGAGTGTCCATGATGGTGAGGTTATTTAGCGAGTGTCCATGATGGTGATGTTATTTAGCGAGTGTCCATGATGGTCAGGTTATTTAGCGAGTGTCCATGTTGGCTTGGTTATTTAGCGAGTGTCCATGTTGGCTTGGTTATTTAGCGAGTGTTCATGTTGGTTAGGTTATTTAGCGAGTGTCCATGTTGGCTTGGTTATTTAGCAAGTGTCCAAGATGGCTAGGTTATTTAGCGAGTGTCTTTGATGTTTAGGTTATTTAGCGAGTGTCAATGTTGGTTTGGTTATTAGCGAGTGTCCATGTTGGTTAGTGTAATTGGCGAGTGTCCATGATGGTTAGGTTATTTAATGAGTGTCCATGTTGGTGTGTATGTTGAACTTCTTTCACACCGTACATAGCCAATCATGCTTATAGGAGGTGCGGGGAGGACAACAAACGAAGCATAAACAGCAGTTTTAAACTAAATTTATTTTCAATCTAGATTAAAAAAATCCGTAGCTCCAGTGACTTCCTAATATCGGAAGAAAAAACATTCCAGACGGCTGCAGAAGTGCATCTGAAAGCATGCAATGCTGAGACTATCTTTATTCGATGACTACCCAAAAGCTGCTGCTAAGATGACCGGAGTTTGCGTGATGGTTTAAACTCTTTGATGATGTCAGCAAGATATTGTGGTTAATTTGTGGTAAGTGCTTTGAATGTAATGAGTGCAACCTTTTATGTATGACTTCGGCAACAGGAAGCCAATGCAGTTCGGTGAGCACTGGACAGACATTGGTCGGATTTTCCAGTACCCGTCATGATGCCTGCCAAATAATTTTGTACACGCTGCAGCTTGGTAATGTTTTTGCCAGATGTGCCGGAGAGTAGTGAGTCAAAATAATAGAGCCCTAACCCTATCCCTAAGCCCTAACCACTAACCCTAACACCTTACCATAAGCTTAACCCCTAACTCTAACCCTTAACCCTAACCCTTAACCATAACCCCTAACCCTAACCCCCTGACCCAGACCCTGACCATAACCCTAACCCCTAACTCTAACCGAACCCTAACCCTAAACATTAACCCTTACTCAACCCAAACCATAACCCCTAACTACCCTAACCTTAATGCTAACCCTAACCCCTAACACTAACCCCTAACCCAACCCTAACCCCCAACCCTAACCCCGAACCCTAACCCAACCCTAACCCCAACCTAACCCTAAACCCTAACCAAACCCTAAACCCTAATTCTAACACAACACAACCCAAACCCTAACCTCACCCAAACCAAACCCTAAACCCTAACCCGAAACCCTAACACTAACCTTTAACCCTGAACCTATCTCTAAACCCAACCCTACACCCTAACCCTAAACTCTAATCCATATCCCTAACACTATCCCTTAACCCTAACCTTAACAACTAACCCTAACCTTCACCCCTAACCCTAACACCTCACCCTAACCCCTAACCTAAACCGTAAACCGGTTGCTTATGTTGTATCAGTGCTGCCGCTGATGAGCTGCACTCTCAGAAAGTCAGGCGGCTGACGTGATGCGTAGAACCACTCGCATCTTTGTGTGGAGAGGCGGCTATGTGGAGGCTGTTCCTCTGCTCGGTTATTTTGTCCGATGCAGCAGCTGGAGTTGTGCGTTTGTCCACAATAGTGCATCACGCGACTTGTGTAAAACCTACAGTGCACCTATAGCCACCTCAACCCGACAGCCCTGACTATACTGTATAGCCCTAACCTGAGAGCCGCGACCCGGACCCCTAATTATGGTTATAGGAGTCTCAATTCCATGGCGTCGAAATTCGGCCTCCACGATGTAAAATTCAAACTCCCGAAGTTGGAATTAGGACTCCCGACAGGAGCAGTGGCAGCTGCGGTTGTGCGATTTGTCAGTGAGGCAAAAGCCTCAAGGGAATTCAAACAAATATACTCTTATTATTATTCTTGCTGCTCACAAAGGTCCATCAACAGTCGTGATGTCCGGTGGGGAATATGATCACAAAATCAGAAATTTACTAGATGGAGGTACCGACCTTAAAATTGAACGAGACCCAACCAATGCCTCGAAACTGCCAACAGTTTACGGCTTGCCAAAGACCCACGAACCAACAGTGAGTGCAATCGGCACTGCCACAAATAATGTAGCACCACGCAACCTTTACCTAAACAAAGCGCGACATCGACAGCAGGTCCTCTTAGTTCATTAAGGAGAGAGATGGGAGAGTGGAGGGAGGGGGGGCAGGGGGGGAGAGATGAGTGAATGAGTGAGTGAGTGAGTGAACGAGTGAATGAGTGAGTGAATGAGTGAACGAGTGAATGAGTGAGTGAGCGAGTGAATGAGTCAATTATGAATGGGGTGGGTTGGGGGAGTCCATTACGAATGAGAGTTCATCAACCATCACCAACCATCACCAACCATCATCAACCATCATCAACCATCATCATCAATCATCATCAATCATCATCAACCATCATCAACCATCATCAATTATCAACCATCATCGATCATCATCAATCATCATCAATCATCATACACCATCATCAACCATCATCATCAACCATCATCAACCATCATCAATTATCAACCATCATCAATTATCAACCAATCATCAATCATCATCAATCATTATAAACCATCATATACCATCATCAACCATCATCAACCATCATCAATGATCAACCATCATCATCATGAATCATCAACCATTATCAACCATCACCAACCATCATCAACCATCATCATCAACCATCATCAACCATCATCAATAATTAACAACCATCATCGATCATCATCAATCATCATAAACCATCATCAACCATCATCTACCATCATCAATCCTCATCAATCGTCATCAACCGTCATCAACAATCATCAATCGTCATGAACCATCGCCACTGCCTCCACAGCTGCTGCATCTCAGGCAGCGATCCTGCGACAATCCGGTCCTCTTTGCCGCTCCTCTGACCATTTTCCTCAAGGAACATTTTGCATAAAATGGGCATCACGAACATCAACCACCACCACGCGCATTCTACGCCACTCACTCCACATTCCGTTTTTCAGACGTAAACGGGAATGTCGTAAATCGGAAATGGCTTTCCTCCCGGACAGTCATTCCGACTTATACTCCTCACCTAAACATCCACACGCACACATATATAACTTTTAACAATACAAAAATAAAGACAATTAACAACATACATCTTAAGACGATTGCATCATTAATTTAAAACTAAACTAATTAACCTTGCCAGGGAACTCACCAAAACACGCTCGAGTGGCTCGAGAGGTGATGTGGAGGCGTTACTGTTGCACTGTGGGGATAGAGTGGAGAGGGAATCTGATCAACTACAAAGTTATTTTTCACAGACGTCCAGCAGTGGATGGACGATGCAGCCTCCCGCGTGCTCCATTTTGTTCTCATGGTACTTGCCATCTAAAATTTCGTTCACCTACAAATTAAATTTTTGAAATCCATAATTTTGTCATTTCGAGGAATTGCTGCACTCACTTGGACTCTGGCACCCAATATATGACAGCAGCAGTATGAACACAGTGTTAACCAACGAAAAATTACCAAATAATTTATTAAAATTTGCACAAAAGCACCGATAAATTAAAGTGCACACATTTACTCACACGCCAGGTGTACATAGATATATTGTTATTATGATCACGACTATGAAGATTCTAGCTCTACAATAGCTTATACAAGTGTATTGTAATAGCGTCGACTGTTGTTCAGCAACGGCAACTGCGGTGGAAGAGCAGTACACACGCCGATGAGCATATACGCGGGTGTGTTGGCAGGGCAGAGGAACTGGGGCAAGGGTCATCTGGAAGCCCCTGGAACCCACTCGTGCGTTCGAGAAGGGAGGCGCGGCCAGGGCAGAGCCAGGCCGCGCCGGGTAGCATGAAAGCGGCTGAGAGCGCGAGCTCGTGGCTGCCGGTTCTGGGAAGTGGACTCGTCTCGTCGTCGTCGTCTTCATCTTCGACGCCTTTATCGCTGCCATCTCCACGAGATATTGCACCCCTGGACAGTTGCTGGCTGTCCCTGTCGGCACCATCGGTGCAACACGGTCAGGGTGGTGTTAAGGCGAGGCTAGATGACTAGGGAGAGTGCGAAGGCTGACACTACACAAGTACAGCTTGCATCACACAACAAAGACCTGTAAATGCTATTTGCCTTGGCAAAACGTTACTTGATCTTTGGGGGGCAGAAAATAAATACGAAAATAAATTAGGCAATAAGTTAATATGTAGCATCGGGGTAATAGGTTTACTGATGTCATGTGGCAGTCATTGACGAGGTCTCTTGCCAAGCGTTCGTCAGGGACCCCCGCTTGAGGAGGGGTGGTTGATCCTGCGCGGGCGACGAGCCAGCGGTAGGATTTCCACATTCCCATTACGGGAGCCAGCCTCGTCACCACTCCACACGCCTGTGACCAAAGTGCAGCTTCTAAAGCGGTCCGGACCCATGCTCTTGAGGGGCAGCCCCACGCCAAGCACCCTGCTCCAGGTTCTAGTCCAGGTTCGTGAGGTCCTAGTCTGGGTTCATGAGCTCCTATTCCGGGTTCATGTGTTCCTAGTCTGGGTTCGTGAGTTCCTGGGTATTGACACCAACGATGATGTCCACGACGTCCACACCGGTGATGACCACAAGTGCGTGGCTCACGTGGGCTGCCAGCGGAAGCGGTAGCGGCCCTCCGCGGCGGCCCAGGCCACGAGCGCGATGGCGCGCCGGAAGACGAGCGTCCTGGCCGTGCCGTGCTCGCGGACGCTCGCGCGGAACCCGGCCGCCCCCGCTCCCCCTCCCTCGTCGTCTCCCCCGGGCTCCCGGAGCATCGCTCGCGGCGGCGACGTCGTCACAAAGCCCGCGAAGCGGCCGTGCAGCGCGGGGGCAGAGAGGGGAGGGGGGGGGCCACCCCCAACCGCGCGCCTCGCCGCGGCGTCGACAGCGACGTCGGCGGCGTCGCGGTCGGCGGCGCGGGCGTCGCTGCCGCGAAGCCGCCGGCACGAGCGGTCGCTCGCCACCTCGGGGCCGCCCCCCCGTTCGAGGCGGCGGCGTTTGGGCTCCCTGGGAGGAGTGAGGCAGGAGGAGTGCGGAGGAGGAGGAGGGGGGTAGAGGGTGAAGGGGGAAGGAGGGAAGAGGGAGGAGGAGGTGGAGGAGGGGTCGAGCTGCAGGACGCAGCGCGATGCCTCCTCCAGCAGGTCCCTCATGCGGCCCTCGGCACGACTCACGGCCTGGCCACTCAGGCCTTGCTCCGGCTGCCGGGGACACTCAGCCAGCCCTGCCCACTCCTGGGACAGATTCTGTGTGGGGAGGGAGGGAGGTCAATAAGGAGGCAATGTATTTTTGTTGAACTTCTTTTTCACAGTACATAACAAACCACGTTAATCAGAGGCGCGGGCAGTGCACTGCAGAGTGCGGTGGATCAGAGTGTGACACACAGTGTTGCTCCCTGGGGTTTAACTGGGCGCTCCGGTCCACATGAATGGTAACCGCTCATCACGAGTTGGCTGGAAACATCTCAATCTATAAAGAACTGCAAAACTATTGTTGGTAGTGCCGCCTCTTCGTCGGCCGACAAGAGATAAACTGCTTATCCTGAAATACTAATGCGTTGGAGTTTGCATTGTCCTTGTACTGTTCATCTGTTGGTGTTCTTTGCTGGGTCGCATCGGTGACGGAGAGCCACAGGGGAGGCTGGAAGAAGTCACTCCCTGTGAGTGGCTAGCTGAGGTGCCATATGTTGAAGAATTATTGAAGGTGATCCAGAGTCTGAGACCAGAAAAGGCACCGGGCAGAGATGATCTGCAAGCGAATTGCTGAGGAAAGGTGGCGTTTGTACATAGAATGCACTACATGACACCATAACAACAGTACAGACGATAATAACTACAGGGGCATCTCACTCCTCAGTGTGCCAGGAAAGGTCCTAGCAAGGATTATTGAACATTGCCTTGCCAGGCACACTGAGGAGAGGCTTGTAGAGCCCCAATGTGGGTTCAGGAAAGGGCGGTCCTGCACAGATGCCATATTTTCTGTCCGTCTGCTACCGCAGAGGTGTAGGGAATTCCAACAAGACCTACATCTCTGCTTTATTGACCTGGTCAAGGCCTATGATACAATCAGTAGGCCTGGGCTCTGAGTTACTCTTCGTGCTTTCGGAGTCCCTGATTCTCTGCTCACGATCATTAAGGACCTTCATGACTGGTGAGCGGGCCCGGATAAAACTACGTGGCCGGGAGCCGGAGCCATTCCCTGTTTACCTTGGTGTGCGACAGGGATGTCCTCTGGCTCCCACATCATTTAACATATATTTCGACCACGTAGTTCGTGAAGCCGTTGATGGCTATACCTGAGGAATTTCCATCTGGTACAGATACAATGGGAGGCTGATCAATGCCCGGGTGTGGTCAAGGGATGGCTCCCTTTTGGTCAACCATGTTACATATGCCGATGATCTGGCAATTGCTGCTCACCCAGAGGAGGGGTTGGAGGCGCTGCTGCTGAACCTAGAGCATGCCACTAAGAGGTGGGGCCTTACCATCAGCCCCACCAAAACCAGGCACCTGCCTTGGTATTTTGTACCATCGGACACTCCACCCCCACAACTTCCAATTGGTGATAGGGAAATTGTGGAGAAAGTGGAGAGTTTTCCATACCTGGCCAGTGTGCTCATGAACGGCTCCGGTTTGACAGGAGAGGTCTCACTCCCAATCAGCCGAGCAGCATTGCCTTTTAATCGGTTGCGTAATGCAGTGTGGAAGCTACTCCACACGAAGCTTAAGGTCTTCTCGGCCAGTCATGCCCTTCCTTCTCTATGCTTGTGAAACGTGGACCCCCCTAATGGAACATCTTCGCTGGTTATAAACATTTAGGCTGGCCTGCCAACGATCCATCCTGGATTTAACCGGGCTGGATTGTATTAAGAGCTCACAAATCCTTGAACGATCTGAACAAAGTCTCATTGGTGAGCTCCTCCGACAGGCAAAGCTGCGTTGGCTGGGTCATGTAGCCTGCATGCCCATCCACCGAATGCCTAAAGAGCTTTTGTTCGGCTAAAGAGAGGGGGCTAAACAGGCGCGGCATGGGCTAGAGATGAGATGGCGTGGTGTGGTACAAGAGGATGTGGAGCTGAGTGGATTTGCCGATGACCGGTACCAGCGGTGTCAAGATCGGCCTCTGTGGAGGAGGCTCGTGAAGGACGCTACTGGGCAGTTGGAGACAGTCGCCCTCCAACAACAACGGAGGGCGGAAGAGCGGCGCTCACAACAACAAGCAGAGCGCCGGGTGGCTAAAAGACAAGTTGGCACAGTAGGGGGCACAGGTGGTGTATCGACCAGTCGTCTCAGTCAGTCGACCCGTGGCACCTAGGTCTGCTCCGTGACCTCCTGCCGGCGGGCATTCGACACTTCACGTGGCCTCAATGTGCACATAGCCTGGCACAAGTGCCGTGCTGACGCCACCGCCACTTAGTGGTGAATGGCGGTTGTTGTTGAGTGTGAGTGAGTGTGAGTGAGTGAGTGCACCTCTCCGTGGCACCTCACCTCCAGCGTGGCGCTCAGTGTCCGTGCGCTCTCTGCCAGCTGGCGGAGTCGCGAGTTCCTGGCACGCAGCCTCCGTGCCTCAGCGTCCCTCCGCTCCAGTGCAGCGCTCAGCTGCACGGGAGCCACGCAGATCCACAGCGCAGAGTTAGAGCCACGCTGAGCCACACCAGAGAGCCACACCACGGAGTCACAGCCAAGGACAGCGTTACCACCCTGGAGTCCTCAGAGCACAATGTATGGGCAGTGGTGGTGGGGAGGCCGCGCCGTGGATAATGTCGCCTGTGACACCATACCATAGCACCAGCAACCCTAGAATTCATTGATGCAGGAGGACTTGATTGGTGAATGGACTCAACGTTATTGCAGGCCAGGGACAAACTCCACTCACCTGGGATTATAAACCTCCATCCGCCTGACGCAAGTCAGCCAGCAAGCGCCTGTACAGAACAGCCAGTCGTGCTAAATATGTGCGACAATGCAGACACACGTACTTAGACGCGACCAGCTGCTCTGAGCCAAGCAGAGGCTGTGATGGTTCCCAGCACGACTTTGGTCTTCGTGGAGAAAACAATTTAAGATTTCTAAATTGTGATTATATTGCATTGTGCAGCGTGTATTTGTGCATGGGTCACATTTTGCGTTTGATGTACGGTCGACCCAGCCTCATATGAGTACCTGTTATGATGTGTAAATCTCACCACTGGGGGAGATAAAGGCGGTCGGGTGTGGTGCTGGCCACCCACCCCCTCGCATGCCATGCCGGTCTTCATCGGCGTTATTACTCACTTACACCACTTGCCCCAACGGTCGTGTGTTACTGCCTACACTGGGGTCTTTGATGTACCGTGTGGGTGTTTGTGATACTTTAAAGATCTTGAAACAGTCCCTATTATCGGTGAGCTCCTCCGCAGGCGCAGGTGGTGTTGGACGGGTCATGCGGCCCGCATGCCCAGCCTAAACGAGCACGGCACAGGCTAGAGTAGAGATGGTTTGATGTTCGAGTGGGTGAGTGAATAGGTGACTGGGTGAGTGAGTGGAACGGGACAGAGAAGAGATGGACAGATGCCGTACAGAAGGATTTGGACTTGCCAATAACTGGTACCAGCGGTGTCAAGATTGGCCTCTTTGGAGGAGGATCTGAAGGACGCTGCAACTGGGCAGTTGGATGCAGTCGCTCTCCAGCAACAACGGAGGATAGGGGAGCAACACTCACAACAACGAGCGGAGCGTGGGGTGGATAAAATACAGCTTGGTGGCACAGTAGGGGGCACAGGTGGTGCATTTGCCAATCATGTCAGTCAGTCAACCCATAACACCTGAGTCTGTCCCGTGGCCTCTTTCCAGCAGTGAGCCTTCCACATTTCACGTGGACCTAAAGTGTACCTAGCCTGGCACAAGCGCCTTGGTGATGTCACTGCCACTTAGTAGCGAATGGCGGCTGTTGTTGTGATGTTGGTGAATTGTGTGTGTGTATTGTACAATAGTCAGGTTATGTTTGAAATGTTTGATTAATTAAACAAAATTTTCAGATTAATACAAACAGCCTTATTAATCTGAAAAGTTCCGTTTTAATCGAGATTAAATTCAGAGAACACAAAGTAGTGGTGCTATTATGATGTCAGAAAGGCGCTTCTCCTGCCAAAAACGGTGCCACGTGGCATTGGATGACGTCACTTTAGGAGCGATGATCGATGGTCGTGCACACAAAGACAAAGATCCCTCGTGTAGCCTTCACAGACTGTTGGGGCAATTGCCGATAGTGAGTGACACCTACGAAGGCTGGCACAGCACACGTGAGGGTGGGTGGCCACCACCGCGCCCGGCCGCCTTTGTCTCCCCGTTGGCGATGTTTACGACGCATTTGAGGCTGAGTCGAACTTGGGAAGGCCCAGGACCGATTGTTCAGACAAATCGCCGCTGTGTTGGTGGCCGTCGTGGCCACAAATTCGGGTCTCCGCCAGGATCATGGCGCAGCGCGTCAGCCCACGGCCCTACCTGCCGGTTTTCCCCAAGCGCCTCTTGCAGCGCCGCCGCCTCCTCCTTCTCGTCTCCGCCCCATGGCGTGGAGTCGAACCCCCGCACCTCCTCACCCTCCTCCTTCTCGTCTCCGCCCCACGGCGTGGAGTCGAACCCCCGCACATCCTCATTCTCTGCGTCTCCTCCCGCCAGCTCCAGCGCGGAGTCCAGGCCCAGGGAGGGCCCCAGCTCCATGACCTGGCCGTCCAGGCCATGGAGCGGCCCCTCTGTACCCAGGCCCAGCCCCACGGCGCCCATCTCCAGCTGCGCCTCCAACTCCGCCATTTCCGCCGGCAGCAGCAGCAGAGGAGGAGTCGGCTCTGGGGGGTGGGGGGGGAGTGCGTTACGCACAGATGCAGACCGTTACCACGTGGCCACATTACCACGTTACCACGTGCATTTAGCGGTCCGCTACCACCACCACGACCACCACTACCACCACCACGACATGGTTTGTCCACCGGGGTGGTGACCGAGTGCCGTCGCCTCACCTGGAGTGGGCAGCAGGGCCGGGAAGCCGCTGGGGGCCCTCATGGCCGTGAGGTTCAAGCCGAGCTCCACGGCAGCGGCGTCCAGCAGAGCGCCCTGCGGCTCGCACAGGAGACACGGAGAGCACCGCACTCAGAGAGCACCACACTCACTCACACCGCACTCACTCAGCCACTCACTCACACAGCCACTCACTCAGCCACTCACTCACACAGCCACTCAATCAGGACCACACTCACACCGCACTCACTCAGCCACTCACTCACACAGCCACTCACTCACACAGCCACTCACTCAGGACCACACTCACACCGCACTCACTCAGCCACTCACTCACACAGCCACTCACTCAGCCACTCACTCACACAGCCACTCACTCAGCACCACACTCACACCGCACTCACTCAGCCACTCACTCAGCCACTCACTCACTCAGCATCACACTCACACAGCCACTCATTCACACAGCACTCACACAGCACCACACTCACACTGCACTCACACAGCCACTCACTCACTCAGCACCACTCTCACACCGCACTCACACAGCCACTCACTCACTCAGCACCACACTCACACCGCACTCACACAGCCACTCATTCACACAGCACTCACACAGCACCACACTCACACTGCACTCACACAGCCACTCACTCACTCAGCACCACACTCACACCGCACTCACACAGCCACTCACTCACTCAGCACCACACTCACTCACAGAGCACTCACACAGCCACTCACTCACTCAGCACCACATTCACTCACAGAGCACTCACACAGCCACTCACTCACTCAGCACCACACTCACACCGCACTCACACAGCCACTCACTCAGCACCACACTCACACCACACTCACACAGCCACTCACTCACACAGCCACTCACTAAGCCACTCACACAGCCACTCACTCAGCCACTCACTCACACAGCCACTCACTCAGCCACTCACTCACACAGCCACTCACTCAGCACCACACTCACACGGCACTCACTCAGCCACTCACACAGCCACTCACTCAGCCACTCACTCACTCAGCACCACACTCACACCGCACTCACACAGCCACTCACTCACTCAGCACCACACTCACACCGCACTCACACAGCCACTCACTCAGCACCACACTCACACCGCACTCACACAGCCACTCACTCGCTCAGCACCACACTCACACCGCACTCACACAGCCACTCACTCACACAGCCACTCACTCACACAGCCACTCACTCACTCAGCACCACACTCACTCACAGAGCACTCACACAGCCACTCACTCAGCACCACACTCACACCGCACTCACTCACACCGCACTCACTCAGCCACTCACACAGCCACCCACTCAGCACCACACTCACACCGCACTCACAGACTATTGGGGCAAGTGCTCTTAGCGAGCACCTATGAAGGCCGGCACCACGCCGAGCTGCCTTTGTCTCCAAAGTGACGATGTTTATTAGACACCGACCCAGATACTAATTTGAGGCTGAGTCGACCTAGGGGAGGCCCAGGACCGGCTCAGATCATCGTCACTAGTGGTGTTGGCCATGAGCAGGAATCGAACTCGGTTCGCCAGGTCCATAGCGCAGCGTAGCGCTAACCACTACACGACCACTCCACACCATAACCACCACCACCACTATCACCACCACCACCACCACTATCACCACCACCACCACCACTATCACCACCACCACTATCACCACCACTACCACCACCACCATCACTACCACCACCACTATCACCACTACAACCACCACCACTATCACCACCACTCCAACCACCACCACTACCACCACCACCACTACCACCACCACCACCACTACCACCACTATCACCACCACCACTATCACCACTATCACCACCACTCCAACCACCACCACCACTATCACCACCACTCCAATCACCACCACCACTATCACCACCACTACCACCACCAGCAGCACCACTACCACCACCAGCAGCACCACTACCACCACCACCACTACCACCACCAGCACCACTCCAACCACTACCACCACATCTAACAACCACCAATACCACCTTCACAACCAGCAGCACCACTACGAGGACCACTCAACAGAAAGCTGCACATCATCGACCCCGAGGCCGGGTCTCACCTGGAACTCCGCGGAGTTCTCCGCTCCCCGAGGCCCCAACTCGTGCCACACACTCGAGTTGATGGTCGCCAGGCCTGGAAACATCCAACGTCACCGACATCAACATCAGCAGCACCATCATCATAATTACCGTCGCTATCAACATCAACACCATCAGCACCATCACCAGCACCATCACCAGCACCATCATCAGCACCATCAGCACCATCATCATCACGATCAGCACCATCAGCACCACCATCAGCACCATCAGCACCATCAGCACCATCATCAGCACCATCAGCACCATCACCAGCACCATCACCAGCACCATCATCAGCACCATCATCATCACCATCAGCACCATCATCATCACGATCAGCACCATCATCATCACCATCATCACCATCAGCACCATTAACACCATCAGCACCATGATCATCAGCACCATCATAATGACCGTCGCTATCAACATCATCACCATCGTTTCCATTATCACCACCACCATCATCATCAGCACCTTCACCAGCACCACCATCAACACTACCATCAACACCATTATCACCATCATAATGTGGGACTGAGAGAGTGTGTGACTGACAGAGTGTGTGACTGAGAGAGTGTGTGGCTGAGTGTGTGACTGAGAGAGTGTGTGACTGAGTGTGTGACTGAGAGAGTGTGTGACTGAGTGTATGACTGAGTGAGTGACTGAGTGTGTGACTGAGAGAGTGTGTGACTGAGTGCGTGACTGAGTGTGTGACTGAGTGAGTGACTGACTGAGTGAGTGACTGAGAGAGTGACTGAGTGAGTCTGTGACTGAGAGAATGTGTGACTGAGAGAGTGACTGAGTGTGTGACTGAGTGTGTGACTGAGAGAGTGACTGAGAGAGTGTGTGACTGAGAGAGTGACTGAGAGAGTGTGTGACTGCGTGAGTGTGTGACTGAGTGTGTGACTGAGAGAGTGACTGAGTGTGTGACTGAGTAAGTAACTGAGTGTGTGACTGAGTGTGTGACTGAGTGTGTGACTGAGTGAGTGTGTGACTGAGAGAGTGAGTGACTGAGTGTGTGACTGAGTGTGTGACTGAGAGAGTGACTGAGTGAGTGACTGAGTGTGTGACTGAGAGAGTGACTGAGTGTGTGACTGAGTGAGTGACTGAGTGTGTGACTGAGTGAGTGACTGAGTGTGTGACTGAGTGTGTGACTGAGTGAGTGACTGAGCGTGTGACTGAGTGTATGACTGAGTGTGTAACTGAGTGTGTGACTGAGTGACTGAGTGCGTGACTGAGTATGTAACTGAGTGTGTAACTGAGTGAGTGACTGAGTGTGTGACTGAGTGTGTGACTGAGTGAGTGACTGAGTGTGTGACTGAGTGTGTGACTGAGTGAGTGACTGAGTGTGTGACTGAGTGTGTAACTGAGTGAGTGACTGAGTGTGTGACTGAGTGTGTGACTGAGAGAGTGACTGAGTGTGTGACTGAGTGTGTGACTGAGGGGTGGGGTCTCACCTCGTGCCCCCCGCGTTTCCTCCCCCCACCCGCACCTCGCCCCCTCCTCTCTCCCTCGGCACGTGACCTGCACAGGGGACACCGAATCACCCAGAGGCTCCATGACGACCCTGCGATGTTTCTTGTACATCGGCACCGTCGCGGACAGCCGGAAGCGTGCGTGGCGGTGAGATCGCTCCGGTGGGATCTCACCGGTGAGATCTCCCCGGTGAAATCTCACCGGTGGGATCTCATCGTTGGGATCGCACCGATCCGCCGTGAAGACTTGTGCCTGATAGTCCGGTCCCGCTCATTCCCGCCGACGCTGCTGCTGCTGCTGCTGTGACGACCGCCGCTGTCGGGAATTCTTATCCTCCTCACACTCTTTGGTTCTTTCGGTAAAGTCACGCAGTTGGATACAAAATAAAATGAAACAAGTCGTCACGACGTTTCGGGCGCAACACGAGCGCCCATAATCACGTGGGAACAACCACAGCGAGACACAATTGCTGAAGTGGGCGAGAGGTTACGTGGGTATCAAAGGGGGGGCTCTCTCGCCCACTTGAGCAATTTTGTCTCGCTGTGGTTGTTCCCACCAGGCGACGACTGCTTGTGTTGCGATCGAAACGTCGTGATTTGTTCTCTACCCACGTGACTTTACCGAAAGAACCAATGAGAGTGGATTCCTGCAGTCACGAAAGCTTCAAATCTTATCCGACTGTGGGCCACTCGGCTTCCGCTACCTCATCTGCGGTGACCCGAGCGGTCACGGCCATAAGTGACGTCACGCAATGTTGGACGATTTTTGACCCCCCGCCTCGTCACACGGCGTCACAAAAAGTCAGACCCCCCCTGTGTGTGTGTGTTCACAGGTGGTGAACACACACACACAGGTGGTGAACACACACAGGTACTACACACACAGGTAGTGAACACACATACAAGTAGTGAACACACACACAGGTACTACACACACAGGTACTACACACACAGGTGGTGAACACACACACAGGTGGTGAACACACACACAGGAACTACACACACACAGGTGGTGAACACACACACAGGTGGTGAACACACACACAGGAACTACACACACACAGGTGGTGAACACACACAGGTGGTGAACACACACACAGGAACTACACACACACAGGTGGTGAACACACACACAGGTGGTGAACACACACACACAAGTAGTGAATACACACACAGGTAGTGAACACACACACAGGAACTACACACACACAGGTACAACAACAACAACCGCCATTCGCCACTAAGTGGCAGTGACGTCACCACGACGTTTGTGCCAGGCTATGTGCACCTTGAGGCCACGTTAATTGTCGAACGCCCTCAGGTAGGAGGTCACGGGGCAGACCCAGCAGGTGCCACGGGTCGACTGACTGAGATGACCGAGATGAGTGGCTGATGCACCACCTGTGCCCCCTACTGTGCCAACTTGCTGGGCTTTTGCCATCCGGCGCTCCGCTCGTTGTTGTGAGCATCGCTCCTCCGCCCTCTTTTGTTGTTGGAGGGCGACTGCCTCCAACTGCCCAGTAGCGTCCTTCACGAGCCTCCTCCACAGAGGCCGATTTTGACACCGCTGGTACCAGTCATCGGCAAGTCCACTCAGCTCCATGTCCTCCTGTACCACGTCACTCCATCTCTTCTCTAGCCCGTGCTGAGCCCGTTTAGCCCTCTCGATCCGGCCGAACAAAAGCTGTTTGGGCATGCGGTGGCTGGGCATGCGGACTACATGACTCAGCCAACGCAGCCTTGCCTGCGGGAGGAGCTCACCGATGGGACTTTGTCCAGATCTTTCAAGGATTTGTGAGCTCCTCACAATATCCAGCCTGGTTAAACCCAGGATAGATCGTAGGCAGGCCAGCCTAAATATTTCGAACCGGCGAAGGTGTTCCATTTGGAGAGGTCCACGTTTCACAAGCGTAGAGAAGGGAGGGAATGACTGTGGCCGAGAAGACCCGTAGCTTCGTGCGGAGCGACAGACCAGGTAGCTTCCACACAGCGTTATGCAACCGATGAAAAGATAATGCCGCTCGACTGATTCGGAGTGAGACCTCTGCTGTTAAACTGGAGCCGGTCAGGTACACACTGCCCAGGTGTGGGAAACTCTCCACTCTCTCCACAACTGCCCCATCACTGATTGGGAATTGTGAGGGTGGAGTGCCCGATGGTACAAAATACCCAGGCAGGTGCTTAGTTTTGGTGGGGCTGATGGTAAGGCCCCACCTTTTAGTGGCACGCTCCAGTCTCAGCAGCAGCGTCTCCAACTCCTCTTCTGAATGAGCAGCTATTACCAAATCATCGGCATACATAACGTGGTTGACCAATAGGGAGCCATCCCTTGATCGCACCCGGGCGTCGATCAGCCTCCCATTATATCTGTACCAAATGGAAATTCCCCCGGTACAGCTATTGAAGGCTTCACGAACTACGCAGTCGAAATAGATGTTAAATAATGTGGGAGCCAGAGGACATCCCTGTCGCACCCCAAGGTGTACAGGGAAAGGCTCCGACTCCCGGCCACGTAGTTTTACCCGGGCCCGCTCACCATCATGAAGGTCCTTAATGATCGTGAGCAGAGGGTCAGGGACTCCGAAAGCATGAAGAACAACCCAGAGCCCAGTCCTACTGATGGCATCATAGGCCTTGACCAGGTCAATAAAGCAGAGATGTAGGTCTTTTTGGAATTCCCTACACCTCTGCTGTAGCAGACGGACAGAAAATATGGCATCTGTGCAGGACCGCCCTTTCCTGAAACCGCATTGGAGCTCCGCAAGCCTCTCCTCAGCGTGCCAAGCAAGGCGATGTTGAATAATCCTTGCCAGGACCTTACCCGGCACACTGAAGAGTGAGATGCCCCTGTAGTTGTTACAGTCGGTACGGTCCCCCTTCTTAAAGAGGGGGACCACCAGGGCATCCTTCCAGTCCTGCGGAACCCGTCCAGTGGTCCAGACTGTTGTTATGATGTCATATAGGGCAGTCTGTGCACAAACGCCACCCTCCCTCAGCATTTCGCTTGGGAGATCATCTCTGCCCGGTGCCTTCCCTGGTCTCAGACTCCGGATCGCCCTCAGTACTTCTTCAACAGCTGGTACCTCAGCCAGCCACTCACAGGGGGTGATCTCTTCCAATATTTGAGCCACCGCAGCCTCAGCAGGGTTATCCCCACAGAAATGCTCAGCAAATCCGCAAACCTGTTCCTGGGGGTCGGAGATTGGATCACCGTTTTTTCCTCTAATGATGGTAATAGGTGTGGCGCTGCAGGTTACTTTTTTGATGGAGTTAAATAGCGATTTGTGATCGCGGGCCACTGAGGCAGACTCCATCTCCTCAGCAACCCGCGACCACCACCCATCCTTACAGCGCCTTACGGCTCTCCGAACCTCCGAGCGAAGGCTGCGGTAAACCTCCTCATTCTCTGACGTGGGATGCTGTAGGCGATGAGAGTGGGCCTGTCGCTTTTTCTCAATTAACCTGAACACCTCCTCTGTCAGCCAGGGTTTCTGGGGAGGTCTGGACCGCGTACCCAAAGCAGCCATTGCAGCTGCATGAGTCACAGTCTTAAACCTCGCCCATTTACCCTCGACATCAGGTGGAGTGGGGGACGATGCCAACCCCAGCTGCACGCGATGATGAAATTCTCGCTTGCAACTTTCATCAGCTAACTGAGACCAGGCCACTTTTGGTTGGAATGGGATCCTGGGTGTACACCCACCACCGGAGTGGAAGAAAGGCAGGCGCATCTTACAGATGACTAGTCGATGGTCAGAGGGCAGATCAGCTCCACGGTAGGTCATGGTGTCAAGGACATGGGCTCGCATCCGCTGGTCCGTCACTATGTAGTCCAGCAGATGTTCTTGCTTGGACCCGGCATGTATCCATGATGTTGTGTGGATGCGCCGATGCCGGAAGAGCGTGTTGGTAATTACAAGCCCATGGGCTGCACAAAAATCTAGCAGCCTCCTACCGTTATTATTGAGACACACACAGTGACACACACAGTGACACACACACACAGTGAAACACACAGTGACATACACACACAGTGACACACACACAGTGACACACACACACACACAGTGACACACACACACACACAGTGATCACACCGCTACAGGTTCTGGACGCACCCTCCTCCTCCTCTTCATCACCGCCTCCTCCTCCTCCTCCCGCTCGTTGTGGAACGACTCCCCCAGCGGCCTCCGCCCCCCCGCCCCTCCCCCGCCCCTCCCCCGCGCCCCCCGCGTCCCCCTCCCCGCCGCCTTCACCTCCATGGCGCGTGCCGGCCCCCCCCCGCCCCCTCCCCCTCCTCCTCGGGGTCACTGCGCGTGCGCGGCCAATCTACAACAAAGACAAAGATCCCCCAGGTAGCCTTCAGTAGAACATTGGGGCAAGTGCGCCTATAAAACACAGACAAAGATCCCCCAGGTAGCCTTCAGTAGAACATTGGGGCAAGTGCGCCTATAAAACACAGACAAAGATCCCCCAGGTAGCCTTCAGTAGAACATTGGGGCAAGTGCGCCTAGATGATACAGACAAAGATCCCCCAGGTAGCCTTCAGTAGAACGTTGGGACAAGTGCGCTTAGACAACAAAGACAAAGATCCCCCAGGTAGCCTTCAGTATAACGTTGGGGCAAGTGCGCTTAGACAACAAAGATCCCCCAGGTAGCCTTCAGTATAACGTTGGGGCAAGTGCGCCTAGACGACAAAGACAAAGATCCCCCAGGTAGCCTTCAGTGGAACGTTGAGGCAAGTGCGCCTCTACAACAAAGACAGAGATCCCCCAGGTAGCTTTCAGTAGAACATTGGAGCAAGTGCGCCTAGACAACAAAGATAAAGATCCCCCAGGTAGCCTTTAGTAGAACGTTGGGGCAAGTGCGCCTAGACAACACAGACAAAGATCCCCCAGGTAGCCTTCAGTAGAACATTGGGGCAAGTGCGCCTAGACGACAAAGACAAAGATCCCCCAGGTAGCCTTCAGTAGAACGTTGGGGCAAGTGCGCCTAAGCAACAAAGACAATTATCCCCCAGGTAGCCTTCAGTAGAACATTGGGGCAAGTGCGCCTAGACGACAAAGACAAAGATCCCCCAGGTAGCCTTCAGTAGAACGTTGGGGCAAGTGCGCCTAGACAACACAGACAAAGATCCCCCAGGTAGCCTTCAGTAGAACGTTGGGGCAAGTGCGCCTAGACAACACAGACAAAGATTCCCCAGGTAGCCTTCAGTAGAACATTGGGGCAAGTGCGCCTAGACAACACAGACAAAGATTCCCCAGGTAGCCTTCAGTATAACGTTGGGGCAAGTGCGCCTATACAACACAGACAAAGATCCCCCAGGTAGCCTTCAGTAGAACGTTGGGGCAAGTGCGCCTCTACAACACAGACAAAGATCCCCCAGGTAGCCTTCAGTAGAACATTGGGGCAAGTGCGCCTAGACGACAAAGACAAAGATCCCCCAGGTAGCCTTGAACAGATCGTTGGGGGTAAGTGCTGTTAGCGAGCAGCAATCTGTCTATGTGTTGAAACGCGCCTAGCACTGAGGCTGTCTTTGTAGGTCGACTCAGCCTCAAATAAGTTACCTCGAGTAGCGGTGTAGCGGTGTAGTGGTGGTGGTGATGTAGTGGTGGTGTAGTGTAGTGGTGGTGTGGTGGTGTAGTGTAGTGGTGGTGGTGTAGTGGTGGTGTCGTGGTGGTGGTGATGTAGTGGTGGTGTCGTGGTGGTGGTGATGTAGTGGTGGTGTAGTGGTGTAGTGGTGGTGATGTAGTGTGGTGGTGTAGTGGTGTGGTGGTGGTGTAGTGGTGTGGTGGTGGTGGTGTTGGTGGGGTGGTGGTGTAGTGGTGTGGTGGTGGTGTAGTGGTGGTGGTGTAGTGGTGGTGGTGTAGTGGTGGTGTTGGTGGTGGTGGTGTTGGTGGTGTGGTGGTGGAGGTGGTGGTGGAGTGAACATCGCTAGCACTGGGGGAGAGACAAAGGCGGCCGTGCGTGGTGCCGGCCACCCACCCCTCGTGTGCCACAGTGCCGGTAGCCTCCATAGCTGCTAGCTTACATCACTCGCCCCACCGGTCTGTGAGGCTATACGGGGGTTCTTTGCCTTTACCAATCGGTCTGTATGTATGCAATTATACGCAGATACTGTGCACGCTATGTGTGTGTGTGCTATGTGTGTGTGTGTGCTATGTGTGTGTGTACGCTGTGAGTGTATGCTGTGTGTGTGTACGCTGTGTGTATGCTGTGTATGTGTTTGCTGTGTGTGTGTACGCTGTGTGTGTATGCTGTGTGTGTGTATGTTTGCTGTGTGTGTATGCTGTGTGTGTGTATGTTGTGTGTGTGTATGCTGTGTGTAAGCTATGTGTGTGTGTATCCTGTGTATGTATGTGTGTGTACGCTGTGTGTGTATGCTGTGTGTGTGTATGTTCGCTGTGTGTGTATGCTGTGTGTGTATGCTGTGTGTGTGTATGCTGTATGTGTGTATGTAGTGTGTGTGTACGCTGTGTGTGTACGCTGTGTGTGTATGTTGTGTGTGTATGTTCGCTGTGTGTGTGTACGCTGTATGTATGCTGTGTGTGTATGCTGTGTGTAGGCTGTGTGTGTGTATGCTGTGTGTGTATGCTCTGTGTAGGCTATGTGTGTGTATACGATGTGTGTGTTGCATGCAGTGTGTGTGTGTGTAGACTGTGTGTAGGCTATCAATTACATCACTCGCACTCACACTTACGTTGAGGGGTCCCCCCGTTCCTCCCTCCCCTCCGAACGTGCGAGCCAGCCAGTCACCCAGTCACCCAGTCACCCAGCCAGCAAAACTTTCTCAATAGAGTTCGACACCGAGATGCCGCGGCTGCCGCTGCTGATGCCGCCCCGGTGCCCAGCCGGAGTCCCCGTGTCTGGGCAGCTCGCTGTGCGCCGCTACCCGCGCCGGGCGGGCGATCCCGCCGGGCCGTGACCCCCCGCCAAGCCCGGCCCGGACTGCTGCTGCTGCTGCCCCATCGAGGACTTCGCTCGGCGAGACGACGCGCGGATGGGGCCAGAGGCGGCCCCTGGGCTACTTGCAACTGCTGCGTGCTACAGCTGAGTGCTGTGTGCTAGTGCTGTGTGCTACTGCTACAGCTGAGTGCCACAGCTGTGTGCTACTGCTACTGCTGTGTGCTGTGTGCTACAGCTGTGTGCTACTGCTACTGCTGTGTGCTAGTGCTGTGTGCTAGTGCTGAGTGCTACAGCTACAGCTGAGTGCTGAGTTTCTGCCCCTGTGCTCGTGGCGACGCCGCTTTTATCTTCGAGCACCGCGCGGAGCGGGGCGGCAAAACTTGGGACTCATTAACCCGGCCTGGTGGGGGGGGTCACGGGGCACCCCCCCCTCACCCCCCACCCACCCTCACCCCCCCTCACCCCCCCTCACCCCCACCCACCCCCCTCACCCCCCACCCCCCACCCTCACCCTCCTGTGTGTGGGGAGCGGTGGGTGTAGTGGTCAGCGCGCTACACTACAAACCCGGCGACCCGGGTTCAATTCCCGCTCACGGCCAACACCACCGGTGAAGATTATCTGAACCGTGCCTGGGCCTCCCCTAGGTCGACTCAGCCTCGAATGAGTGCCTGGTGCGGGGTGTATACTTCGCCACTGGGGATACAAAGGCGGTCGGGCGTGGTGTTGGCCACCCACCCCATCGTGTGCCGTGCCTGCCTTCATAAGTGCTCACTTGCCCCTACAGTCTGTTAAGGCGAAATGGGGGATCTTTGTGTGTGTGTGTACCTGTGTGTGTGTATCTGTGTGTGTGTACCTGTGTGTATACCTGTGTGTGTGTACCTGTGTGTGTACCTATTTGTGTACCTGTGTGTGTGTACCTGTGTGTGTACCTATTTGTGTACCTGTGTGTGTACCTGTGTGTACCTATTTGTGTACCTGTGTGTGTACCTGTGTGTGTGTGTGTACCTGTGTGTGTGTGTGTACCTGTGTATGTGTGTGTACCTGTGTGTGTGTGTGTGTACCGATGTGTGTGTGTGTACCTGACCGGCTCCGGTTTGACAACAGAGGTTTCACTCCGAATCAGTCGAGTGGCGTTATCTTTTCATCGGTTGCGTAACGCTGTGTGGAAGCTACCTGGTCTGTCGCTCCGCACGAAGCGTCAGGTCTTCTCGGCCACGGTCATTCCCTCCCTTCTCTACGCTTGCGAAACGTGGACCCCCCTAATGGAGCATCTTCGCCGTTTAGAAATATTTAGGCTGGCCTGCATACGATCCATCTTGGGTTTAACCTGCAGGCTGGATTGTGTGAGGAGCTCACAAATCCTTGAAAGATCTGGACAAAGTCCCATCTGTCAGCTCCTGCGGCAGGCAAGGCTGCGTTGGCTGGGTCATGTAGCCCGCATGCCCAGCCACCGCATGCCTAAACAATTTTTGTTCGGCCGGATCGAGAGGGCTAAACGGGCGCAGCACGGGCTAGAGAAGAAATGGAGTGATGTGGTACAGGAGGACGTGGAGCTGAGTGGACTTGCCGATGACTAGTACCAGCGGTGTCAAGATCGGCCTCAGTGGAGGAGGCTCGTGAAGGACGCTACTGGGCAGTTGGAGGCAGTCGCCCTTCAACAACAACGGAGGGCGGAGGAGCGACGCTCACAACAATGAGCGCAGCGCCGGGTGGCTAAAGCACAGCAAGTTGGCACAGTAAGGGGCACAGGTGGTGCATCAGCCAGTCATCTCGGTCATCTCAGTCAGTCGACCCGTGGCACCTGGGTCTGCCCCGTGACCTCCTGCAAGCGGGCGTTCGACACTTCACGTGGCCTCAAGGTGCACGTAGCCTGGCACAAGCGTCGTGGTGACGTCACCGCCACTTAGTGGCGAATGGCGGTTGTTGTTGTGTGTACCTGTGTGCACCTATGTGTGTGTACCTGTGTGTGTACCTGTGTGTGTGTACCTGTGTGTACATGTGTGTGTGAGATTGCTACTGGAATGGGGAGGGGTCAATCCGTTGGGCGAGGAGAGAGGGGAGGGGCCACGCGACCCCCTGGCAGCGCGCGCCGCCGTCACGGTGCGCGCGCTGCCCCCCCACCTTGCTGGCACGTCACGTGACCCTTAGCAACGCCACACGGGCCAAACAAACCCCCCCTACCCCCCTAACCCACCCCCCACCGCTGCTACCAACAGAGCGCAGGGAGCGGTGGCGCAGCGGTTAGCGCAGCACCGATTTCGAGATTCCGTGGCGGGTTATTCCGGACGTGCT